TTTCTCCACAGTCTCGCCAGCATCTGTTGTTTCTTCACTTTTTAATTATTGCCATTCTGACTGGCAGGAGATAGTATATTGTGGTTTTGATTTGCTTTCCTCTAATGATCATTGATATTGATTTTTTTTTCGTTTGTTTCTTCTTCTGAGAAGTGTCTGTTCATATCCTTTGCCAATTTTTTATGGGGCTGTTTTTTTCCTTGTAAATTTAAGTTCCTTGTAAATAAACATGTGAGCTCATTGTTCTTGTTTAAACACCTAAGAGGCACTCTAACCAGTGCAACATTGCAAGAAAATTAACTAAGAGACCAATAGAAAGACGGGGTATGGTGGCTCATGCCTATAATCCTTGCATTTTGGGAGGCTGAGGTGGGAACATCACTTGAGTTCAGGAGTTTGAGACCAGCCTGATAGTGAGATCTCATCTCTACCAAATAAAAATAATTTTAAAAGAAAATGATCAATAGATAAGAAAGGAAGAAACAAAAGTCCTTCTTTGTCACCAGCTTCATTGCATATGTAGAAAAAGCTAGGAGATTCTGAAAAAGTCTCTGGAATTAATCATTGAATTTGCAAAATAGTTCACAAAATATATTTAATAAGTCACTCAGATGAGCATGAAAAGATAGTAAACAATACTAATCATCAAAGAAATGCAAGTTAAACCACAATGAGAAACCATCACACATCACCTAGAATAGGTAAAGCTAAAAAGACATATGATAAGTCTAAATACCATCAAGAATATGGAAAAAATAGGAATGTCTGATATTGCTGGTAGGAATGCAAAAAATGTGGCAGCCAATTTGTAAAGCGGTATGGCAATTTCTTATACAGTTACCCATCCATTACCACATGACCCAGCAATTCCACAAATATGTATTTATTGAAAAGAAGTAAAAATGTAAGACCACACGTGTAAGCAGTTATTTCTAGTGGCTTCATTAATAACAAACCCTAGCTGGAGTAATCCACATGTCAGTCAACTAGAGAATAGAGAAACCAGTGAATAAACTGGGATTCCAGCAATACTCAGCAGCTGCTCAGCAACAAAAATGAGTGAATGGCATCATCTCAAACATCGTTATGCTAAATGAGAGACCAAACGAAAGACTACATACCATACGATTGCATGTCCATTAAATTCTAGAAATTTCAGTATTGCAGTGACAGAAAACAGAGCGGTGGTTGAGTGAAGGGAAGGGGTGAGGGTGGAAGGCAAGGATTAAATAGAAAGGGGCACAAAGAAAGTTTCTAGGGAAAAGAACCTGTTCTCTACAGTGCCACAGTTCAGGAGTAACTGGGTGGTGGGAACTAAGGGGAGAGGAAGGTGTGAGGGATGAGGGCAGAGAGAAGGGCTGGGGAAGCAGGAGGTGAGGACAAGGAGCAGGGGAAAGGACTCCAAAGCAGTGGAGGAACCTAGCAGGGGGTTCTCTGCTTTCGGTGTTTCTCTACTGGGCAGTGTGGTAGTTACACGACTATAAATAATTACCAATATTCACCAAAAACCGCAGCTAAAACTGGTGAATTTTATTACATGTAAATGCCCTAATAAGCAAAAAAAAAAAAAAAAAAAAAAGGAGGGAGAAGGAGAGGGGAGGCAAAAATAAAGACATTTTTAGATCATCAAAGCCATAAAATTCATTTCCTAGGAGTCCTGTACCATATGTAATTTTAAAGGAAGTTCTTCAGGCTGAAGGGAAATGATACTAGATGGTGACCCGGATACACAGAAAGGAACAATTAACAACAGGAATGATGCACATACACGTGTCACATTCCCACTCATTTTCTTAATTTCCTGAAGACATGTGGCTGCTTGTCTAAAACAAAAAGTATTACACTGTATCATTGAGTTGATAATATAGATTGATGTAATATATAAAACCATAATAGCATAATGTTAGGTTAAATGAAGCTACACTGTTACAAGTGTCCTCTATTTTGCCGGGTGTTGGGTGTCGTTTAATATAACCTGAACTTCACTGCGAAAAGCCAAGGAATTGGGTTTCCATTCTTACAACAGTAAAAAATTAGTGTAAAGAAATATAGCCAAAAGCCACTAGGAGAATTAAAATCATAAACTACAAAATGTTTATTTGACACATAAAAAAGTAGTAGAGGAGGAGCAGAAACAAAAAGAGATGAGACCAATTGAAAACATATAGCAAATTGTAGACCAAAATCCAGCAATAGTAAGTGAAGAAATGACAGGACTTTGCTCACATTCGCAGGACTGCTGAGCACTGTGGGGAGAACAGACATGGGCAGGAGGTGAGTGTTGGGGTCTGCATGTTTCCTAAACAAAGGAATGAACACACAAGACAACACAAGACAAGACAAACATGGCGGCAGCCCCGAACGGCATGTTCTGCTTTATTTTATACAGTCGTTTGTGGAATGTTGCCAAGTCACAAGACACATTGTTGTTTTTCTGACCTTCCCCTGATTTTCTGGATTTTCAAGATGTTTACACATAAAGAAGCCCCCAGGGTCTGCAGTTTGCAGCTAGCTCCTTTGTCCTCCCTGTTTGCAGGGAAGGAACGCCCTGCTTCCTTTGCAAGAGCAGGACTTATCGGGAATGCCCTGCTTCCTTTGCAAGAGCAGGACTTACCAGGAATGCCTCGTTTGTGAGCACGTAGTCCTCTACAAGTGAGGGACAGTGTTAGTGCCACAATTCAGGAGTGACAGGGTGGCGGGGACTAAGGAGAGAGGAGGGTGTGAGGGATAAGGGGGCAGAGAGAAGGGCTGGAGAAGCAGGAGGTGAGGAAAAGGAGCAGGGGAAAGAATTTTAAAGCAGGGGAAGAGCCTAGCAGGGGGTTCTTTGCATTCGGTATTTAATACATTTTGTGGGACTGCCAAAAACCTAATTGATTCCTTACGATTAAAACAACAAAAAAAAAGAGTTACAAAAATACCAAGTTTCCAGATAAAATATGCACACTGCTTAGATGTGCAGAGTTCACGAAAATAGGCAGTCCTTGAGCGTCCTTGAAGAGCACTGGGACTGCATGGAGCACTCGCGACTTTGAGGTGATGACTACAGGCTCCCGGTTAAAATAGACACTAGCAAACCTTCTTTGTATTCAGGAAATGTTCTGGACTCATGCAGGGAAACTCGGGCTAGGGAATGAAGATAATTTTAAATGCAACAAACCAGAGTAACAGATCCATAGTCTGGGAAAGTAAAAGTTAGGAGCTTTGAAAGTTTAATTGTAATGCTGTTTTGACACAGGTCTCTTACAGATTGGAATTCTAATCATTCAGGGATTACCAATATTGTGCTACCTACTGTATTAATAAACAAAAAGGAAACTGGTCTCTATGAGAATCTCTGTGTGGTGCCTTCAGACAAAACTTCACCAGGTTTAGAGAGAAAACCCCTGTCTCTACACCTCCATTCCCAGGGCGAGCTCACTCCGGCATGAAGTTCCCTGTGGTGAGTTTCCCTGTACAAAGGTCCAAGGGGAGAGGTAAGGAATGGCAGGCAGGGAGTCCAGTTCAGGGTCGGGGATTTCAGAACGAGTAGTGAAGGGAAAGGGGCTGGGTGCAGTCTCGGGGTCCTCCCTGATTTCCACAGACAGATACTTGTCCAGGACTTGGGCAGACAGGGGGACAAAGAGGCTTGGTGTAGGAGAGGGATCAGGACGAAGTCGCAGGTCCCGGGCGTGGCTGTCAGGGTCTCAGGCTCCCAGAGCCTCCTCTGCATTGGGGAGGCGCTGGGTTGGGGATTCCCCACTCCCCTGAGTTTCACTTCTCCCAGTCTGTGTCGGGTCCTTCTTCCAGGATACTCACGACGAGTCCCCAGTTCCCACTCCCATTGGGGGTCGGGTTTCTAGGGAAGGCAATCAACGTCGCCCCGGTTCCAGTTCTAAAGTCTCCACGCACCCACCCGGGCTCAGAGTCTCCTCAGACGCACAGGGTGCGGGTCATGATGCCCGGAACCGTCCTCCTGCTGCTCTCGGGGGCCCTGGCCCTGACC